GGGGTGGTGCCGCCGCTTTGTCAGCCGCCTGCAGCCCCCGACACCCCCAGCCGCCCACCCCAGCCGTCCGCTCGCGGGAACGGCGCGCAGCCTGCCCACCCCGCCCGGCGCAAGCCCAGGACCCCGAGGCCGGAACCCCAGGTCCTTGGACATCCTAGATCCGCCTCACACACGGCCTCCGGGCGGGAGAGGGAGGCCGAAGAGCTCCGGGCATTTGAGGACGCTCGAATTCGTCTGCACCCCGGTTCCTGGCTTCCCTCATCCCGCCAGTCCCCAGGTGGCGGCGGCGAGGGGCCAGGCGAGAGCGTCTGGGGCCTTCGCTGCAGGTACTGCTCCACCCCACCCTCTGGCCCGTCCAATCTGGCTTGGAGCCGCCGACCTTCCCCAAGGTGCCCGCGGGCGTCTCCTGGACGATCTTGGTGCAGAGCGAAGGCGCGGGGAGGTGCAGTTTGGCTGCAGCCCAGTCCGGCGGCACCTACGGTTGCCCTGACCTTGGGCAAGTCCCAGGGGCAGCAGCGGGTCTCAGCAGCATTCTCGGGCCCAGCCCCTCCTGGTAGCTACGGGATATTATGGCCCCTGGCAAGTGCAAGAGGCCGCTGGCAAGTGTGGTCTCAGACTGTCCAGGCACCAACCCTGGGCCCTCTGCACCGGGGACAGATTCACACCACCCCACCCCCAAAGGCAGTCTCCAGAGCCACTAGGCAAAGATGGGGGGAAACGTTAATAATAAAGATATGAGATTTTTTTTAAAAAAATCATCTCACTAATAATCAGACTCATGCAAATTAAAACAACGACTCAACCTTCCCCTAACCTAAACGCACCCAGATTTGCAAAAAATGTAAAAGGTTGCCACCAGCCAGTGTTGGCTGTGAGTTGGAATGTAGGGAAACGCGTTCACATGCTGCCTACAACTGTGAACGGCTGCATCCTCTTTGGAAAGTAATTTGGCAGTTTCAAGTTTTAAATGTTCGAACTCCATGACCCGGCAATCTCACTTCTAGGAATCCATCCTACAGAAAGGCCAATCTCAGTTCTCTCTGCAAATAGAACAAGAGATGTGTAGTGGGGGGAAAAAAACATCTGGGAATAGCCCAATGCCCATCACACATGGTCTGGCCAAGGGTAGGAAGGCATCTTCCTACTGTGGAATATTACGCAGGTGTCAAAAGAAGGAAGTGGAGCTTGCGTGGTTAATGTCCATCGCAGTCCCTCACACGTCGCTACATGAATAAAATAAGGAAGGGGAGAACCCTTCTCTATGTGTACATTTGACAAAATCCCTCCAGCAACTGCACAGTGAGCACCTGCCGAGTACCAGGTGCTGGGTACATGGGGGCAGCAAGGAGACCAGCGTCCTGCTGCTAGAGGAACCTGCCATGAGCAAGCAGCCCGGTGGACAAAAGAACGTCAGGAGAAGCCTGGCTGATTACACAAAAGTCATGGGTGTGGATCCCCATACTGGCCAGCTGCCCAAAAAAAAAAAAAAGTCAGGTGATGAGTGCCGCTGGGGTCAGGGACACAGCGCAGTAAGGCAAGGTTTAAGGAACATTGGACAGGTGCCTCTGAGGAGAGGGCTCTGGAGCAAAGACCCAAAGGACGCCTGGGTGAGCACTGAATGGTGTGGGAGTCCCCACCCCGCTGTCCCGTCCCTGTGGTCACTACAGAAGGGACTTGTGCTTCTTCCCTTGCTCTCCTTGGCATGCTTCGACCTGTTCCAAGTCAGCGTTTTTCAGACCAATAAAACAAAGCAATGTAGCAAAGGCAAATGGCCCTTACAGGCTGGCCAGATGCAGGGGTCTCTTAAGCCTGGAATCCCTGCACTCGGTGCCCCTGCAGCCCCTTTCCCCAATTCTAGAAATGTCTGCAGCTGCCCACCCCAACCCCTAGCCCCAAAGGCCTGAAGGCTAAAGTGTCTGTTTCTAGAAGTGAGAGCTGCTGCCCAACCCTGGGGGTGTGGGGATGGGGGATGGCACTCAGGGTTTCCTCTTTGTCTTCAGCTTTTGTAGCGTCTCAGAAAGCCATCCCTCCCTTCCCACCCTCCCAGCTGAGGGCCTGACCCACTTTTCTAGGGCCCCCAGGGAAAAGGACCCTTGAGACTGCAGAGGTGAAGTCCAGAGGGCAGGGCTGCAGGACACCCCTCACCTACCCCTGTCCCTACACCTGGTACTGGGGGAAGCTCCTGCCCATGGCCTCCAACAACCCTCCACCTTCTAAGATGGGAATCTTTGTCTCTGTTTTGCAACTAAGCAAAAGAAGATCAGAGTTGCTAGGTCAGAGGTCCAGCAATCCCTTCATGATCCTGGAGTGGCCGGCACTGTGCTAGCCTGACCCAGGGCCACCCTTGGGAGGCAGGCTGATGGTGCAGGGTGCTCAGACAGCTGTGAGGGGACAGCAGCAGCGGCAGGGGTTAAAGCAGAGATGGCCGTCAAGGGCTGAGACCCAAACGTCAGGATGAGGTCCCCCCACCAGGGAGGGGCTGCTTGAGCATGTGTGTGGCCCCAGAGCAGTGGAGCAGGGGAGAGGCCTGGAGGGCGCCAGCCTCCCGCTCAGCAACAGAACACCTCCAGCTGCCCTAGCCCTGTCTGTGGACCGACCCTCCACTTTCCCCAGGGCCCTCAGAAGCCGGTTTGGTGGCGTCTGGGCAAGAAGCCAGGTGACATCACCGAGCCAGTTTATGGTCCAGATTCCTCCGAAATCACACCTGGTTACACATTTACCACTGGGCCTGGAGGGGGCCTCAAAGGTATCTCAGGCTTTTCATACCCAGAGCATGGCCCAGCTCAGCAGGGCAGGGGCAGGACAGCAGGTCTAGCTGGGCGGGTAGGGCCAGGCTCCAGGCAGCGTGGCAAGGACATCCCCGGAGTCTGTTCCCAGGGTGTGGCAGGGACAGACACTGCTTCCTCCTGGTGCCCCTGCCGCTGAGCTCTGCAGAATGAAAAGGGGAAGTTGTTGGGGGTCAGGAGAGGGGCAGGGGCTGCCTTGGGGTCACAGAGCACAGTAGGATAGGCAGCTGTGCTGATCAGAGAGCAGGAGACCTCAGTCACCTGGTCTCTGCCAGGGATGCAGGCAGAACGGCCTCCCCCACTGGGCAACCTTAGCCTCTCTCTTTCCTCCAGTGTCTCCTTCCTGCCTGTTCCCACCTTTCTTCAAATCTGCTGTTGGGTTCTCTGCAGCCAGGCTTACTGGCTTTAAATCCCAATCCCACTTTGACCACCTTGGCTGTGTGACCTTAGGCAAGTTACCTAACTTCTCAGAGTCTCAGTTTCCCCATCTGTAAAGTGGTCTCTCTCTCATAGGATTGTGGGGAGGATTCAATGAGATGACACTTAGCTGGGCATATATAGCATTAGTTCTTGTTAGGGGAGCCCCAGTATACAAAGTCTACCCTGGGAAAGAGGCCCACCAGCTGAAGACTCGGGGAGGCTGGTTCTGCTTGAGGTCTCAGGCTGAGGGCTAGGACAGGCTCAGATGGAGCAGATGGGCAGCAGCTCTAGGAAGGCTGCCTGGAGAAGGGGGGAGGGGGTAGCGGAGGAGCTGGCCAGCCAGTAATGGACAGAGAGGCAAATGGGAAGTCCAGACCAAGGGAAACCACCGCTGAGTCACCGAGTCCTAATCTAGGCTCCTAGCAGACACCAGGCCTCATCTCCATACCACAGCTGAGAGGCTGGGGAAGAGGAACCCCAGGAGGAGTGGAGAGTTGAAATCCCCCAGAGGAGCAATTAGGGGATGACTCAGGCAGGCGCATCATCAAGGGAGTGAAGCAACCAGTTGGAACAGAGGTTGGAGAGCCATGGATTGGGCTGGGTTGTCTCAACGTTAAGAGGAGGGAGGCCATGATTCACCAGCTGGTGGCTAGAGCTGTGGCCCCAGAGGGACATGAACCCACAGAGAGTGGGAGACCACCAAAGGCACCTCACCATCTTACCCCCCGGGGCTTTCAGACTCAGGCCCAGCCAGGGCAGGTGCATGGAGAGGGCTGAGGTCAGGTACCTGGGTTTCCATGATGGACCTTAAGGGCCCTATGGCAAGGGCCCTAGACACCCTGCTTAGTCAGCCCCAGAGGAGGGAGAGTTCAGAGTGTGCCACAGACTGGCAGGCCTCCAGGGAGGAGCTGGCTCTGCAGGGGCCTGTCCACCCCCATTTTACCAGGCTGGAGTAGCCCGGGGCATGGGGATTGTGGCCTATGGTCATTGCTAGCTGGCCTGGGCTCAGGCTTAACCCCAGGGTGGCTGCATAGGCTGGGAGGGCCTCTGCAGTTCCCAGGGCTAACAGGACAAGCCCTAGTCCTGGGAACTGAGGGCTGGAGGAACAATCCATGTCCTCTGTCCCCCTCGTCCCCTGCACACACACTCCACAGAGGAACCAGTTCTGAATCAGCCTACTGAGACAGAACCCCACTCCCACTTCCCTTTTCTGCCCCTGTCCTCTAGCTGCTCTTCCCCCAACCCCCTGCTCAGGCCTTGTCCTCACCAGACCCCAAAGTGAGCCCAATTCATCCAGCTCTCTTTGTGCCCTGGGTCCTGGGAGGGAACACAAGACCCCATTTCTCTCTTTGAAGCAACTCTGCCCTTGGGAAAATGTCCCCTGCGGAGGTTTGCAGAACCTGGGCCTAAAGCCACTTCTGCATTCTTCCAGACTGCCATCTCCTGCATCTCTGGCTGCCCCTAGCCAAAGCCTTTTGGGACAACCCTCTGGCCTACGATTCCACTTTCTGGAATTCATCCTGAGGCCCAGGCAGGGCGTTCCCAGAGTAGTTTGCAATGACAAAACGTCCAGGGCAAATTGTCTTCGTAGGGGAATAGGGCAGCTAGCCAAGGCTGGCCACGCGTGGATTCCCAGGGCTGTCAAAGTGTGTGTCACAGCCAGGCCCTGGTTCCAGCCGGCCACGGTCCCGTGTGGGGGTAAAACCCAGCAGGGCCGCAGCAACACGGCAGCCGGCGGCCTTGCGGGGGACTTTTATTTCGCCCTGTCCTCGCGTCTCTTCCGCACGGAGCACGAGAAACAGGAGCGCAGGACGGGGACGAAGTCGAGCCGGGAACGTCCTCCAGGCGGGACGCGAAGGTCAGCCCGGCCGCTCCCAGGAGCCCGCGCGCGGGGGGGCGGCGGGCGCCCAGTGACGTCATCAGCGGGCGCCCATGCCGGGCCCGGAGCCGGAAGTGTTGTGGCTGTCGCCCCGCGTCGCGGAGCCACGTGTGGAGCCCCCGGGAGCGGGAGCGTCGCCGGTGAGACCCCGCCGGTGAGGCCCACGGTGACAGTGCGTGGGTGAGGGTCGCCCGGGCCAGGCGCGGCGTTCGGGGCTTTCCCGGGGGGCCCGCGCTGTCCCTCCAGCCTCCCGTGGGCCGCCCCAGCCCCTCTGCCACGGCCGGGCCCCCTCCCTGCCTCTGCACGGGCTGGGCCGGTGTTTCCGGTTACGGCCCGCTCCACGTCCCCAACCCACGCTTGTGGGACCTTTATACCCCTCCTGCACCCCCTGCCATCCGTCCTCCCAGAAGCCCGCCTTGAGGGGAGACTGAGGGAAGGGGGTTCCACAGAATCACGGCTGGCTCGGAGGGGACCTCACGGACCCTTTGCTGCTCCCCCGCTGGTGGACACCTCCCGAAGGCCAATTTCTCTCATCTCCCCCCCGGGAATGGGAGCCAGGCTCCTGGGGAAGGGTGACGAGAGGGTCGGGTCCTTACTTTGTGGGAATCCTCGGGCCGCTTCTGCCACAGCGAACCTCAGTCTCTCCATCTCTGATTTGGGCTTATGGACCCTGGCTCATGTCCCAGACCAAGAAGGGCTTCAGATGTCAAGCCAGAGTGCAGCCCTATTGGACTGCCCTGTGAGGCAGTGCCAGGGGTTGGGCCAGCCACCCACTACCACCCCCAATGCTCAGGATCTGGGCCTCAGAGCCTTCCACCCAGACCCCAGCTCCACATCCTGCCTCATGGCTCCCTGACCTGCTCATACCCACACACGCCCCTCTCCAGGTTCCTGGCACTTGCCAGACATTAACACCATGAGCTTCGTGGCTTATGAGGAGCTGATCAAAGAGGGTGACACCGCCATCCTGTCACTGGGCCATGGCGCAATGGTGGCGGTGCGCGTGCAGCGAGGAGCGCAGACCCAGACCCGGCACGGTGTCCTGCGGCACTCAGTTGACCTCATTGGCCGCCCCTTTGGCTCCAAGGTGACCTGTGGCCGAGGTGGCTGGGTGTACGTGCTGCATCCCACGCCTGAGCTCTGGACGCTGAACCTGCCGCACCGCACACAGATCCTCTACTCCACTGACATTGCCCTGCTCACCATGATGCTGGAGCTTCGGCCCGGCTCTGTGGTCTGTGAGTCCGGTAAGTTCCTCAGGCTGCCTCAGTTCTAACTCTGAGACAGTGATGCACAGGTGGAGGTCAGATCCCATGTCCAGACAGCCTCCAGCCCTTCTTGCAGACAGGTGCAGCTCCTTGATTTCTATTTTAGCAGCATCATTTTGGGAGGCTGACTGCAAGAAGTGAGGGCAGAGGCAGAGAAGCCTGTTAGGGGGCTGGTGCTGTAATCCAAGTGACAAGTGCTGGGGGCTGGACCAGGGTAACCTGGGGAGGAGGTGGTGCCCCAGAGAAGGTCCTGCTTGCCTTGGAGGGGCTGGCCAGATTGGTGTTTGGCGCTGACCAAGGTGCTGACTACCAATCCCTAGTCCCTATGCTGATAGTGAGGGCGGGAATTGCCCCTTCCTGGAGGGAACACATTGTAGGTGGGGAGCGTGTGCTCATGCACAGCCAGGACCTCACCTACCACTAGTGAATGTGAGCACACTGTCACACCGAAGCTTGCAGCTGACCAAGAATGACCCCAGGTCCAGATGCGGCTAGATTCCTTCTGGTGTGTTTTCTGCGGGCTGGGGAGCTGGGATCCAGGGTCTCAGAGAGCTCCTATCACCACTGCTGCTTACTTGCTGAGGGCTTCTAGCTGTCCTGTCCCTGAGCAGGGTGGGGGCGAGGGCAGCAAGTGAGCTCCGTCAGCTGCTGCTCCCATGCAGCCTGCGGCCATGCGCCAGCTCTGGGCCCTTAATGCATGTAGTCAGTCAGCACGCTTCTGGCTTCTGTGGTAAGCCAGGTCCCCTTCTAGGAACTGTGAACAAGACAGAGCAAGTTCCCGCCCTCAAGGAGGGGCACAGACAGTAAGCCTGGATGACCGATGAGTGCCATTGATTGCTGTGCAGATTGTAAGACAGGGCTGTGGGTGTGGGGGTGACTCAGAGGGGGGTCAGTCAGGGAAGACCTCCCTGAGGAGGGGACATTTGAATTGAAAATGACAAGGAGGTACCTGCCAAGAGCCAAGGGAGAGTTCTGCACCAAGGGAGAGCCCTGCCAAGGCCCTGAGCTGGGAGCATGCCACCCAGTCAGGGTCAGCGAGGAGGCCAGATTGGCTGGAGCAGGAGTTGAGGAAGAAATGGGGGTACCCCTCAGAGGGTCACCAGGAGTCTGACTCCTCTAAGTGGGAAGGGCAGTCAAGGGTCCCTCCACGGCATCTGGCCTGGGCAGTGGGTGTCGTTGACTGGGCCTGGGAAGCCTTGGCAGCGAGTGGATTTGGGTTGGACCAGGCTGGCTTTGCTCTTGTCAATGCTGAGCACTGCTGGGTGCTGAGGGAGGTGGCGAGTGTGCAGTGGCTGCTACAGGAGGAATCTGGAGTGGAGGGACGAGGCCTGGGGTTGTCAAGTGGGGGCATCTGAGGCTGTGGGGTGGGGGGCAGGTGGGGGAATGCAGGTCCTGGACTGTGCACTGCAGGACAGGAAGCTAAGCAGGGGGTGGCCCTGAAGGAAGCTGAGGAGGGATACTGGGAGAAGGTGACATTGGGAGAGCACAGCTGTGGGGCAGGTGGTCTGTCATACCATGTGCCCTGAGGCCGAGCCAGGCCAGAACAGAGCCCTGGTCTGGGTGGTGGGAGTGGGTTTGGGAGGGAGGAATGTCATTTGCTCTGCCTCAGTGGCCACGCTGTCCCCGTCTGGGCTGGCATCAGGCTGGTTGGGGGAAGGGCTGACTTGAGTGGGATAAGAAGCTCATGAGAGAATGTGGGGCATGAGGACCAAACAGGGTGGGCCGCCCCTGACAGGGAGCAAAGGTTCAGCCACTGCACGGAGGGTGGTGGGGCTGGGGGAGGGGACGGGCCAAGGCCTCTTGGTCAGCTCTGTCCAGACTCACTGCAAGGCCTCCAGCCAGTCGGCTCCTGTCAGCCCACTGTCCATGCTGTTCCTGTGCAGGGGGCCTGCACCAGGCTAGGACTGGTCAGGGCTGCTTTGTCCTCGCTTATGCCATGACAGACACAGTCCATCCCAACTCGTGGTGCAAACCAAGGGCTCGGAGCAGCCAGGCCTAGACAGGTAGCTTGGGGAGCACTGCCCGCCTGCGGCTGGCTGACCTCTTGGTCCCTTTGCAGGTCCCTCCATGGTGAGGATGGGGGTGTTTCCTAGCTGGCTGTGGGCCCCGGGCAGTCCCACCTGACATGGTATCATCTCATCCCTCCAGGCACTGGCAGTGGCTCTGTGTCCCACGCCATCATCCGCACCATCGCCCCCACGGGCCACCTGCACACAGTGGAGTTCCACCAGCAGCGGGCAGAGAAGGCTCGGGAGGAGTTCCAGGAGCACCGTGTGGGCCGCTGGGTGACCGTACACACCCAGGACGTGTGCCGCAGTGGCTTTGGCGTGAGCCACGTGGCCGATGCTGTATTCCTGGACATCCCATCGCCTTGGGAGGCAGTGGGCCACGCCTGGGATGCCCTCAAGATGGAAGGTGTATGGGAGTTCTGGGAGGGGTGCAGCCCTAGGAGCCCAGAGAGGTCCAGAAACCTCTAGGCCACACCGAGGCAGTGGCTAGGCCAGGCACTTTTGGCCTGATGGGAGGAGCAGGCTAGGCCAGCTGAGGGAGTCAGGGTGGGGGAGGATGGGACCCCAGCTCCACTCTGCTCCTTGGCTCTGCCCCACCCCCACCCCAAAGTGGGAGGTGTCTGAGGTCCCTGGGGAATGTGTCAGCCCTGGCCAGCAGAGTGCAGGCAGGATCTGGACCACAGAGCAGGCCGAGGTTGGGGGTGGCCGAGGAGGCCTCAGCCGCTTCATGCACAGTCTCCCCTCCCCCCACATTGCAGAGCCAGAGAGCTGGCCCCTTTTAGGGAAGATGCTGGGTGCGGGGGCGGAGCGCCTGAGGGGAAGGTCGGCCCTGAGCCAGGGAGGCGGCTGGCGAGGCCCAGGGTTTTCCCTTTTCTGGAGAGGGAGCCAGCACTGGCAGCTGGGGCCCTTCCCTCCTCCCAGCCAAGAGGTGCGGGAGGCGGATGGGTACCCGGGAAGGGCTGCCCCCGCTTCAAGACAGGACCAAGGCTGGCTTGGACAGCAAGGCAGTGGCCACTGGGTCAGCTGCCTGCTGGCTCAGGTTCGACCGTGGACTTCTGTGTCCCTGGTCGCTGCCAAGGTGGCCTGGGGCAGGGAGAGGGGCAGGCACTGGGGTCCATGCAAGGCCCCTGGTTCCCCACATCTCCATCCCTCCAGCTCCCCCCTGCACACCTGCTGGCTCCCCTGCTCCAGGGGCACTGGAGGGCCCAGGCCAAGTCCCACTTATGGGCCTCCCTCCTGCGGCTGCAACTCTACCCATGAGGGCGGGGGCAGATGGGCTGTCTGTTGTCGTCATTCCCTGTCCCTGTGAGCTCCCTCTGGGCCCTTTCCCTGGACCTGCTGGTTCTGGGTCCAGAGGCTTCTGGCTCATTCCAGGGTCCAGGTTTTGTGAGGGCTCGCTCACCTGCCACATGAGCCCAGCCAGTGAGGGGCAGACTTTGCAGGGAGGAGTGTTGTGTGCTCTGCCTCGATGGCCACACTGTCCCCATCTGGGCTGGCATCATGCTGCAGGCACCTCTCCAGCTCCAGACCTCCCAGCAGCCCTGCATTAGGGTATGGCTGAGGGACCAGGACTCAGGGACGTTTGAGGACTTGCTTGGTCCACACACACCCCTTCCATGCCCCAGCTTCCCAGGCCCTCCCTGCGCCAGCACAAGGATCCAGGCTGGACCCTGCCCGCTCCCGGCCAGGTTGAGTGACACTGTGGTCTACCCTGGTGGGAGGTGGTGGGAAGGGCTGTCATCCTTAGTCTGCTCAGAGTAGGCGCCTCCTGTTCCCAGGAGCGGGAGACAGCCTCTAATTTCCTGTGACAGCAGCAGCCCCCACCCGCCTGTGAGCCCCAGCCCACGCAGCCCTGCCCTGGTGTTGCCACGTTGTCAGAGCTGTAGCTGGGCCCAGCACACTGACAGCTGCACCAGTGTAGTCCCATCCCGGGCTCCGACCCTCAGCTGCCTCATGGGAGGCGGGATAGTAGTGACCACAAAGGCCAGCAAGGTCAGGAAGGGTTTGGCCCTGGTGGCCGGACTGGGCAGAGAGAGCTGCGGCCCCTTCCACCTGGCCGCCAGGTGCTGGGGGCTAATGTGCCATGGCAGGCTGTAGGGCAAGGCCTCTACACGACACCCCAGCCCTGGGGTCCCAGCTCTCTGGCCCAAGGGTTTGGAGTCTGTGTTAGGGCCACCTTAGGCCAGTCTCAGACCCCAGGGTAGTGCTCTAGGGATCTTTCTGTCCACCTGCCCTCTGACCCATGTCCTGCCCCCTGCAGGTGGCCGCTTCTGTTCCTTCTCACCATGCATTGAGCAAGTGCAGCGCACATGCCAGGCGCTGGCAGCCCGCGGCTTCACGGAGCTGAGCACCCTGGAGGTGCTGCCGCAGGTCTACAACGTGCGCACCGTCAGCCTGCCGCTGCCCGACCTGGGCGCCAGCACGGGTCCCCCTGCTGGCCCCGACGCCGGCCCCTTCCGCAGCGGCACACCCATGAAGGAGGCTGTGGGCCACACCGGCTACCTGACCTTCGCCACCAAGACCCCAGGCTAGTGGGCTGCCACCCAGGAGCACCAGCAAGCTGGGGGCACCAGCAGGGGAGCCGAGGCTGCCTTATATGGTCAGCGGACGCCTGCCGGGCCTGTGTTTAGAAACAGACATGAAACAGATGTGGGGTGGGGCTTGGGGGCCTCCTGGGTGGCCAAAGGGGGAGGGCAAGCAGGGGCGGCTTGTCTCAGGCCCTTCCTGTTCCTGTCCTCTGGGGAGCGAGGCCTCCCGCCTGCGTCACAGCCGAGCTCAGCAGCCCTGTCCTAGCTCCTGTTTGTTGTCAACATGATGTCTCCACTGCCACAGGCTCCTGGGTGCTGAGGCCAAGGGGTGCAGTTTGGGGACAGGGTCTGCCCCTTTCCCACATGGACCCAGGCAGCAAGGGCATTAGGGAGGGGTGGGGACACTGTGCCAGAGGCCCATGCTGCATCTGCCCTCAGAGCCCCAAGGCCCTAGCTACCCCATGGGGTCTGTGGACTGGCTTGTCCTGTCTCTGGGCCGAGACTCCAGCCACCCCTATAGCCTCCTGTGCTGATGGGGACCAGGCCAGCCCAAGAACCAGGGAAAGTGACCCTGCTTTCTGGCCTCCAGGCTCATCCACAGCACTGGGTGCCATGCAAGCCTCTTGTCCCCTCACATCCAGGGGGCAGACCCCACTCATCCACCCATTCTGGGAAGTGACTCCTTTGCCCCTGGCCCAGCCAGAGCCCCTTGACGGGTTGTGTGGTTTGTGAGATCACCTAGTGTCACGCAGAGGAGGAGCCAAGCAGGGGAGCTATTTGCTTTGGGTGATTCAGCAAGTCTGTATCAGAGCTGGAGTTTGAACCCCCAGCAACCCCAGGCCCACTAAGATGCCCCAGCCCCCCATGGGAACCCTGGGGTCATGGAGGAGGGCCCCCATGGGCACAGCAGTGTGGGGTGGGGGAGGGTACATGCAGAACACCTCCCAAGGACTGTGCCTTTGTCACCACCTCTCGAAGGCTGGGGTACTGGTCACCTTCCCTGCTGGGGGCAGCCCCCAAGTGTGCCTGACAACAATAAACATATGCCCCCCATGCTGATTGGTCTCCCTGCCATCCCTGAGGCCCCTGCTCCTTCCTCTCCTTATCCCCCAGGGGCTCTGAACTCCAGGACAGTGGCCTGGGCCTCAGTGAACAAAGTAGGGGGCATGTGGCCACCCCCACCTGGCTGCGGAAAGGGCCGCTTGTCTCTGGGGTTGGGAGCAGTGTGTCTGAGAGCACTGGCCCCCTCTGCAGTCCTACGCAGTGTGGCTCCACCTGCACCACGGCGCGTCAGGGAGCTCACCTCAGCAGGAGCACATGTGGCCTGGAGGCCTGTATCCCCTCAGTCGCCGAGGGTCCCAGAACCACTAGCCCTGCTCCAGTCAGCTCGTCCCCCTTTCCAGGACCTGGACTGACCTCATGCCTAGCAAGGGGACAGGTTCAACATGAAGGTGTGACCCCACAGCCAGAAGTTTCCGGGTGCCAGAGCTGCACCCAGAGCAGCCTGAGCTGGGTGAGCCTGAGGCACTTGGCTCCCGCCAGCCTGCCCCCTGCCCCTGGCCATAGCTCTGGGCCTTAGGGGAAGACCTGCAGGGTGCTGGCAGGCAAGGACCAGGAGATGGGATGTTTCTTTGGGGCACAGCTCCCCACGGGTTGGAGCACATGGGTCTCAGGGACTGCAGGACATGGTCGTGCCCATTCTCAAGGTGGGTGAGGCTGGCAGCCCAGATGGCCCTGGGTGTCGCTGGGACCTGTGAGCTGGAGGGGCAGGGTGGGGCCTGGGGCCCTCCACCCAGAGCCACTGTCTGAGTCTGGGCTTTCTGCGGCCCCAGCCCAGGGCCACACCCCCAGCCCTCCATGCCCAGCTCCTCAGCCTGCTCCTGCTTCCACCAAACAGAGCCCTCTTCTCCAGCCTGGGCCCCCCTGGCCCTGAGCCGGTGGCCAATTCCCAGGCGTCCTTCGAGCCCCGCTGAGTGTCCCTCTGAGCATTGCTCCCCCTCTTTGCCCTGCCACAAGCGTCCTTTACATCATCCCACACTCCCACACTCCCGGCCTGGGGGCCACACGGTACCCCAGCTCTGCACATGGGGTCCTGAGTCCCAGAGAGGCAGGGTCGGGGCCACGGCCAGGTCCCTGGTTGCCAGCAGCATGGGACTTGTCATGAGACAGGCCTTCGCCAGAAACTCCCTGCCCAGCCTGACACACACTCACCTCCATGCCTCAGTGTTTCCTTGGAAATTCCGTCACCCGCTCTGCGGCCTGCACTCGCCCGCCCCGCCCGAGTGCCTGCGACAGGGCCCATCTGCCTGACTCCTGGGCAGCGCAGACTCCCGGTCCCAGCACTGGAAGGCCCAGAGACGAGCGGCCTGCGCAGGCCTCGGGCTCAGACCCAGGCTCACCCACTCCAAGGGTTCCAGGCCAGGACCCCGCCCCAGAGCCAGGGGTAGAGTCCACCTCCCCCAGGAAGCCCCAGGCCTTGACCCCTCCACAGCCTGGGGTGTGAGCTGCTCCGCGCCTTGCTCTGCCCCACCCTCTCAGCAGGGAGCCTCGGAGGGCTGGGCCCAGCCCGGGGCTGCGTGGGACGGAGCTGGGGCAGGATTTCTGGGTGGGTGGTGGGTGGAATAAGGGACATCAGGCCACAGGATCACACCCTGTCTCAGAATGTGAGAAGGAAGGGTCGTTGGTACCCGGGCAGGGCTGGGAGTCCCTAGGGCTGCTCCCCATCACCACCCCCACCTCCATTGAGGCTCTTCTCCCCCAGACTCTCAGCCCCTGGCCTGCATGCTAGAGGATGGGTGGGCTGCCAGGGGGCCTCGGCCCCAGGGAGACATTGCCACCTCTACCCCACTATGGCCCACTGCACAAGTGGGGAAACTGAGGCCCAGAGGAGATCCGAGTCACTAGGACCTAGACCTCCTGCCTCTGCCTGTCCCTCCATGGCCTTCCACATCAGAATTTCCTACCGCGCATGGTCCCCCAGACTGTGGCCAAAGAGACCAAAAAGGAATGAGATTTCTGGCGCCGTTGTGGAAAGGTCCTCAGGAGAGGGGATGCCTGTGCGGAGTGGAAATTAAAGGGTGAGCAGGCCCCAAGAGAAAGATGGAAGGCGCCCCAGAATCAGTCACCGCTGGCTCTGAATGGCCTAGGAGGTGACATCCCCCCTCAGGCTGGCGCCTGCCCTGCCCTGCATCCAAGGCTGCTATAAGTGCCCCACTGTGCCAGCCTGGGGGTGTTCCTGTCTCCTGGTGGGGCCTTGGCTAGGGGGCCCCCAGGGAAGGGCCTCACTCCAGCTCTTGGCTCCTGCTGTCCTAGGAGTGTGCTGTGGGGCAGGCTGCCCTCAGCAGGGATGCGTAGACCCTCTCTATCCTCCGGGGAACGAGAGCACTGCCCTCCTGCTAGTGCCACGGGGACAAGCCCCTTCCCTCTCCCCCATCCAGATGTGGGGACAAAGACAGGGTCTGCTCCATGGGGCTGCTATGAGAGAGTACGGTGTCCCAGAGCCACTGTGAAACGGTACTGTGGTTATCACTAGCAGGGGCTGCTGCCGCTGCCTCCAAGAAGTCCGCCTGTTCCTGTCTTAGAATCCAAGGCCGAATTTTGGGCCCACTTCTGGTCCATCTGGGAAATGCCCTTTGCACCTTGAGGCATTGTGCACCTTCAGGGGCTTTTTGCACTTTCAGGGGCACTTGAATAGTCTATCAGGATAATGGAAGAGAAGACTTGCAATTGAGAATTTTCTGGAAAATCCAGGTCATCCACTCACTGTGCTTATAGTTAGTGTGTAATAAACTGAAAACCAAGGACATTGCCTGGCTAGGCACAGGCAGATGGCCCCTCATGTGACCACAACTTTGGAGGTAGATGTGTTGCTTAGCTGTCACCGTAGGCATGCTGTGTAACAAAGGACCCCCAAACTTGGGGGCTTACAACTGTGGTCAGTCCCGCTGCCGGATCTGTGGCTTGGCTGCTCTGGGCAGCCTCAGCCGGGCTTGCTCATGTGGGGCTGAGTTGGTGAGGGCTCAGCTCTGGTGCCCGCAGCCCCTGTCCCCAGGACAGGTGGGCTGGTGGCACATGTTCTTCTCACATCTGCAGCTCAGGCACCGGAGGGGCCAGCCAAGCCATCCAGGCGCTTTCCAAGCCTTTGGTCGCATTGTGCCCATTTATGCTGCATTGGTCAAAGGACATCACAGGCCTGAGTTCAAGTCAAGGGGTGGAGAGAGAGACCCTGTGGTTTCAGGGGAAGGAGCTGTGTGGCCACAGGCAGGGCGCTGGCAGGGGAGGAGGGCAGGAGGGAGGGGGTCAGCCTTTTCTGTCCTGTCGATGCTGCTTTTGGGCCCATTTCCTGGACAGTGGAACTGAGCCTCAGGGGAAGTCACTTCCCAGGGCTGCCCAGCCAGGGAGTGGCAGAGACAGGCCTGGAGCTGGGGCGCCTTGACCCAGAGCCTGCGGGCTGTGCCCCGCGCCTACTGGCTTGGCCAGCCCAGGGCGGACTCTGCACACAGTGGGTTGTCAGCGGGCAGGGAAGGGGCCATGGCCATGCGAGTCTCTGCTGCATGAGGGAGGGCGTTTCAAAGTCAGGCTGCTTCGGAGGCAGCAGCGTCGGCGGGAATAACTCGGCTCCCACCAGGCTGAGAATAGCTCGGAATTGGGTCACACTCACCCAGAGCTCCGGTCACAGCCTCCAGCCTTTGACAATAATCAGCTTTCTTCCTGACATCTGTCCCTTCAAAGAGGGGGGCAGGCTGGCACATCTTTAGAAGAAGCAAAGCGGAGGGGCTGGGAATGGGGAGGCGAGGCCTCTGTCACCTCCACTGCCCAGTGGGCTGGCACCGTCCCCGCTCCCACCCCCCTCCTTGGCAGGCCACCTCTGTCCCTCCTGCCCACCCAGGACCCATGGGCTTCTGCACTGGGGCCAGGTGGCAGAGCAGAGTTCTCATGGTGCCTGGCTCGAGCTCGGCTGGGCGGAGGAGCCCTGGCCTGCCCTGCTGCCCCCCGGCTCCTCCTCCTTCTCACACGGATAAAGGGGACGGCGGGGAGCGGCTGCCCTCCTTCTCCGAGGATTCCGGGGCATGTTTTCCAGGCTCTCAGGCCCCAAAGTCCTGCTCTGAGGTGGCCCCTGGCCTCCCCACTCAAGTGGACCCCAAGTCCCCCAGCCGCGTTCCTGCAAAGACCACCAGCAGTTAGCACAGTCCTGGCCCTGGCGTCCTCTAGGGGCCAAGGCCTCGTCCTCCTCACCTGCCCGCCCAGGTCCTGGCCCCCTCTGCGCCTCCCCCATGTCCTGCCCAGCCCAGCCCCAGCTTGAGCCTCATGTCCAGACTCCCCTCACTGTCCGGCCCCAGGAGGGACAGACTGTGTCCTGAGACATGAGGTGGAGCAGAGTGTCTCTCACGTCTGAAGTCAAATGAGTGTTTTGGGGGAAGAAGAGATGCTTGGGTGGCCTTTTCTTTGACATTATTCAAAGCCCAGCCTCCTCTCTGTCTCTGTCCCAAGATCGAGGTGTATCCTCCCCAGTATGAATTCTGCCAAGCAGCCCTCCCCCTGGGTGGAGAAGCATCCTCCCACAGCCTGGCCTTTGGCCCTCTGTCCCTGCTGGCCACCCCTCGGCTGACACAGGCTAACCTCCTGCAAAGGGGGAGCCTCGGGCTTCCTTGCCCAGGGATGCCGAATGCCAGGTGCACCGTGGCAGCACCCACCTCCCTGGGAGCTTGCGAAGAGATGCGGAATCTCAGGCCCTGCCCCAGACCTCTTAATCAGAAGGTGTATTTTAGATTCTCAGGCGATCAGAACAACGTTAAAGTTTGAGAAGCATTAGTTTGGCTAATCTTTGTTCTCTCTTTGCTTCAGCCACTAGGAAGCTTAGAGCCATGTTTGCTGCCCATCTGCCAAGTGTATACTGTGTCTTCTTATTTCCCACCACTTTTTTCTGTCTTGCTGTCCTCCTCCCACAGTAGCCTTGAGAGGACTGAGGTGGGGGATGTCACAGGCCCTCGGGCCCCACATCCATGTTGTCACCTAAGCACACTGTCCTCAGGTGGTGCCTCAGGGTGCCAGGCCCATGCTTGTAATACTATAGTAGGTACCTCTCACCCAGATGCGTGTACAGAGAGGGGCATCCCTGCTGCATGCCTGCAGCCTTTACCAACCCACAAAGCAGTTCTCATGTTGCCGGTGACAGAACTATCCCTAAGCTTCAGCCACAGGTATGTTCATAAAATGTCCATGAAGCTGAGGTTCCCAAAATGAGGCCCCTGGACCAGCAGCTCAGCAGCACTGGGAGCTCAGTGGAACGTGGGTCCTAGGCCCTCCCAGCCCTGCTGAGTCGGAACTCAGGGTCGCAGGGGGCAGCCTCCAGACCACTCTGACGCTCCGGTTCGAGGACAAGAGCCAGGACTCTCTCAAACTGTTTTTCCTCTCATACTCCTTAAACGAAAAACATCTGCAACGTAAGCAGCAATGCTGTGGAGACTCCTGCCCGCGGGGCGCCTCCCTGAGGCTGCGCTGCTGTCCCTAGAGCTCCACTCAACCCCATTTGGTTGGAGCATTTGCCTCACAGTCCCCAAAGCCTTTCCTTGGGGTTACCGCCTCTCCCTGTGGCCTCATCTTGCAAATGCTCTCAGGCTTCCAGAGAGAGAAACTGAGGCAGCAACGGCTGAACACTGTGCATGGAGCTCACTGGGTTCTGGTTTGAACAAATCAAATGTTTTATTTTACACAATGGAACAGTTGGGAAGGTAGAAGCCTGAGGTTAAGCCACGACAGCTTTCAGGTGTGCTGATGGTATTGTGCAGTGACAGGATGGCCGGGTTTGCCTCCCAATAACCTGTTGGGGGGAGGGGAGGAGACTGGAGGTGCAACGGGATGTGGGGGCTGGGCACGGATTCTTTATGCAATTCTCTCTGCTGATGCATTTCTTTGACATTTTCCATAATAAAAGGTTGGGTTTTTTGCAAAAGGAAAACGCCAGGCTTCTTCAGCTGTTCATTTGTTCTGCGCAACTGCACCGAGGCCCCTGCCCTGGGCTCCACAGGGAGGGGTCAGGAGTCCCTGCCCTTGCGGGGCCCTGGGCCACTGCTCCCCACCTTGCCCTCACCAGGGCCACGAGGGTCCCTTAAGTCGGGGTGGCAGCAGGGTCACATGCTGCAGGGCAGCTGGGAGAGAGGGGGTGGCCTGTCCCCAATGGGGCAACCATGTACCCTCCATCCTCTGCTTCTCCCAGTGTGGATTTGCAGAGGGTGGCCTGCCCCCCTCCCTGCCCCCAGGCACCACCCTCCTTCCAGACCCTCCCAGTGGCCCTGCTCCCCCCACTCCCCACCCATGCTGCCACCAACAGGCCTGGCTTTGTTCCTTGCCCCAGATGGCTTAGAAATCCATCTTATTGCAGTCTAATTTACAGACACAGGAATGCACCCACTTAACTGTTCAGCTCTCAGAGTCCTGGCCAGCGTGTGCACCCGAGTGACCACCTCCAAGAGAAAGTCCTCTGCCTCTCGGCAGCCCACCTCCCCAGAGACTGTGTGACTTCCACAGAAAGCACCGCCACAGCAAGTGGCCACACACAGCAGTCAGCAGTACCCCGGCCGCCTGTGTCGGCAGCCTGTCACCCGGGGTGCTGGACACACATGAGGTGAACGAGGCCACGGGTCCAGCTTCTGCCCGGGAGCCTGCGGCCTGCGGAGGCGCCGGCCCTGCCGAGGAATGCCTAGCTGGTCAGCTGTGGGTGGTAGGGCCAGCCATTTTGCAGGGGCACTGCGGGTGACAGAGGCTTGTTGCTAAGCTACAGGCACGATGGACATTCCAGGTGCCAGGCAATGGGGAAGGAGACATTTCTGGGCAGGGGGAGGACTAGAGGGCCCAGACCACTTTTGTCCCCCAGCTCTGATGTATGTCCCCCTCCCCCAGGATATCGAGGTGCTTTGGATGCCTGGCCCCGCAGGATGACGTGCAGGCTCCCTCCTGGTGGGGCCTTTGAGGCTCCCCCACACCTGTCGGCATGACCAGGCCCATGAGCCGGGTCCCAGGCCGGAGGGTGGCCAGTGATGGCTCCTGCAACTCCAGCTGACCCAGCCACCCTGCCTGTTCACTTACTCCTGGCCTGTCTCAGAGGCCCACCCCTGGTCCCTCCTTCCCACCTTTGTCCCGTGCCCCTCCTGCCTCTGATCGCGCTTGCCTGGCTGGCCCCCCCGGTCCAGGTGGGGGGCTGTCATGGGGTCAAGGGCAGGGAGTTTTGGTGGGACCCCATTTCTGTGCCACTGCCCCTGTTGCCGGCCCTTGGACCCAGCACCCCCCCCACCCAGACCAGCCAGGCCAGGGCTGGCTCTGCCCGCAGCCACGCCTGCTGGGCCCAAGGCCCTGGCCGTCCCCAGTGTCCAGCCGGCCTCTGCTTGCTGGGACAAGGCGAGGGGTTTGTTTTGCTGCCTTCAGGCTCCACTTCCTTCCTCCGTGGAGAGACTGCAAAGGAGCTTGGCTGAGTGCCACCAGCCGGTGGCTGGGAGGGGGGTGGGAAGGTTCAATGAGCCTGTGGGTCTGTGGCCCTGCGGCCAACCCTCCCCACCCCATAGGCGGTAACTGAGATTCTAGGTCCGGCCGCCAGGCCTTTGCCCTTGCGGGTCCCCAACGCACATCCTTCAGCAGCAGCCCAGGGCCCCCTCCAGCAGGGTGGCAGGCCCTTCAATGCCCCTGCCTCCTCCCACAGCTCTGGGAGACAGGCCCACAAAGCTGCTGTTTCTGCATGGAATGGTGACATCAGGGTCCCAGCTAAGCTGCACATTCCCATGAGGCAGGGGCATGTCCTCTTCTCCCCTGTCCCGGGCGGGCATGCAGTAGGTGCTCAGTAAGTGCACAATGGAGCCTGCCAGCCATCACCACCCTTGGGCCCTGCACCAGGAGGTGTCCAGTGCAGTCTGGGCGAGGGAGGTGGCCACCTTCACTGGGCACAGTGCAGGAGAGTAGGGAGGTGGAAGAGGCACGGTCCTGGCTCCACTGTCCTGGGGCTGGTAGGCTTTGGCCAAAGGACTTGCTGTCTCTGAGCCTTGTCCCCCAACCCCATGTGGAATGGGGCACCCTCAGAAGTTCCCCAGCTGGGCTCGTGGGGCCTCCTTGAGAGCTGCACAGTGAGCGCCCAGGGGTCCTGGCCTGCCAGCCCTAACCCACCACATATGCACATAAGCACACGCACACAGCACCCACACACGCCAGGCGCCCTGGAATCGGGGGATCTGGTCTCGGCAGCTGAGCTGCAGGTGTTTGGGGACAGCTGCCAGCCCACTCCCCAGGCTGCCTCTTAACACCTCCGACCCCTTCCTGCAGCCCCTCCCCACCCCCGGAAATTTGCCTGCCTGTCCTGGGGATCCAGACAGACAGCTGGACACAGACCCCTCACAGGCCCCTGGGCCCAGTGTGGCATCTGGGTGGGGGTCTGCCCCTCAACAGGTGCTGTCACTTGATAAGAGCAAAACCAGAGGAGGGGGTTGCTCCCGTCTCCTCCTCAACTCCGTCCACTTCCAGGGGAGGAAGCCCAGGCCCCGTAGAGGCTGAGCTGGGGCCCCTCAGGGTCTCTCACAAGTGGGAGCTGGGGACAAAGAAGCAGCTGCCAGCAGGGCGGGACGGGGGGGCCATGGCCTTTGTGCACGCCCAGCCCCTCCTGGTGACCTCACCGCCGGCCAGAGAAGGGCCCTTTCTTCCCAAAGGCGGCCGTTGGGAATCGCCTGGGGACAAAGCCGCTGCCAGGCGGGAGACCAGCGAGTGGCCGGCCCCTCATGGCATAAATTAAGGGGCCAAGGCGAGCGAGGGGAGGGTGGCTGCAGCTGGCGCTTGGCAGGCGGCGCACACGCTGGTGCACAGACACCCCCACTCACACTGGGGCACATGGGCTACCCCTCCGAGCTTCGTTCATTCATTTGCCCAGTTCCTTCCTTCATTCCACAGACAGTTGCTGGCACTGGCCCAGGAGGGCCTTGGGGGGTCCTGGGGGGCCCTGGGGACACAGAGGGGATGCAACTGGTGGATGAAGAAGTAGATGGGCAGGGGCTCCCTGTATGGAGGGGAACTGGGACAGACAGGTCACAGCTGCTCATAGGCCCCATGGCAGGGGCAGGGTGGAGAGATCCTGTCACCCTAGCAAGCATGTCACCTAGCACTGGGGCTCACAGCTGCCAGCCTGAGGTCACACAGCAGGCCTCTCCCAGCACCTCAGGAGAAGTCAGGAAAATATTTGGTTTTCAAAGTATGGTGTCAAGTGACATCCCTGCCCCGCACATAGGGCCAAGGAGGGCTTCCTGTCCCCAGGGCCTGGTGTTCCACAAAGCATCCTCACAGTTTTGCTGGCCCTCCACCTGGCTTCCCAGCCCCCCATCCCACACCCCTCCTTGAGACCCTATTGTGGCAGGGGTAACCCAGGGTGATGGATGGCAGTGAGCCATATGCATGGCACAGACAGGGACAGGTGGCCTGAGAGGGCCCAGCCCGCACAGGTCATCCAAAGAGTTCCTCAGGCTGCCCCACAAATGCCCCAGTTCTCTGCTGGCCAGCATCCTGCTCGTGGCCCACTTGGTCCTGGCTCCCAAGGCCCAGCTCCTCAACCTCCCCAGGCACTGGACCCCTGTCCCATCCCCGTGGTTCTGAGCACAGCAGGGCCAGGCCAGAAGGGCTTCCTGCAGGAGGAGGCAGTGGGCCCTGAGCGTCAGGCCAGGTCTGGGAGGCAGCGCAGGCAGTGCTGGTCAGCAGGACTGGCTGCCAGGCCCAGGAGGCCTCCCCACTGCCTGGAATGGAGTCCAGCTCCTTCGTCCTGGTCATGCTGATGAAAGAGGACCCAGTGGGTATCCGAGGGCATGAAGGGCCCTGTTCTGTGAGAGAGGCATGCGGGTGGCTCCTGGCCTGACCTGGGGGACCTGGGCCCGAGGCCTTCAGTCAGGGTCGCAGAGGCCTTGGGGATTGTGGTCAGCCCAGCAGCACTGAGGGCCCTGAGGTTTCTGGGGCTGGGAAACTTCCAAAGCCCTTTTGCAAGCACTGGGTCTGCAGCTGCCCCGGGGCAGGGACACCTACTGGGGCTGGGCCTTTCTGCACCCCCACACCCCCATTTATGGAGGAGGAAAGCGAGTCTCTGCAAGCCTGGCTCAGGCCAGAAAGAGGCCCAAAGCTTCCGGGCCTCTGGGTCCCTGAAGGCCGGGGCGCGCGGCCCCCCCAGGAGCCCCAAAGGCCCTATGCCCCCTCCCTGGGAGCAGAGAGCGAGTGCGGAGGGGGCGGGGTGTAAGTAGGCCAGCACTCTGTGCAGCGTTGCTATGGCACCGCCTTTGCCTGCGCAGGCTTCCTCCTGGGCCATTCCCAGGACGCCTAGAGCCGGCCTCCAGGGCTCTCCACAGCCCCTGCCCAGGCCCCATCCATCAGGGGTTGCTCCCAGGCTTGGAGCCCTTCCCACCCCCAGCCCTCGGCTGCTCACACCTCATCACACACTCACATACACAAGCCCACACACACACCCACAGCACACACACAACACACACATATACTCACATGCCATATGTGTGCACACTTGCACAGACATGCAGAAGTATGCACTGATGCATGCACACACATGCCACACAGCACATGCATGCATGCACACATGTGCGCGCAGGTGCTCAGTGGTCCATGGGAGCCACTGCACTGCCAGTCCCTAAGGGCAGGGATCCTCAGGCAGCTTGGAGGTGGCAGTACAGAGCTCCAGCCTCCAGAGACCACCTGGGCTCCAAGGGCCACTGAGCCCAGAGCAGGGCCTCAGAGGCTGTGGCGAGGGGCTGCCTCACCTCAGCCACTTGCTGACCTCGGGGAGCAGCAGAGGGGCCTGGGATTCAAGGGGCAAGCAGCCTAAGCCAGTGCTCCCTGCTGCTAGGCCTGCGGAGAGACAGCACTCAGCACTGGGAGGGGGACCTGCTGAAGCTGGAGGACGAGCCTGGGCACCTCCCACACAATGGCCTCATGCCACGCCTGGCACTAGACACAAGTCACTTCATTCGATCCTCACAACCACATGACAGGGCCCACTTGCAGGCCAGATACGGCGGCCCAGAGGTGGCGCTGCCTGGGCAGGGAGGGAGGGCGTCGTCATCTCGGGGCCTGGCAGAGCAGCAGAGAGGTCCCTGCCTGGGCAGCCCGGCCTGACTCCCATTGTCAACTGATGTCAAAAGTGTCTGAGGAGGGAGGTGGCCCTAGGGTCCCTGAATCCCTGCTGAATCCCCACTGAGCATGGGGACGAGAGAGGGCAGGGCAAGGTGGCTTCCCTGCAGATGGCACCGTGGGTAAGGGGGGAAGTTGGAAGGCTGGGGCCCCTTCCTGGCAGCAGAACACCCAGGCCCTCTTTAAAGACCATTGCTCGGGCCGAGCCTGTGGCGCACTCGGGAGAGTGCAGCGCTGGGAGCACAGCAGCGCTCCCGCCGTGGGTTCGGATCCTATATAGGCATGGCCGGTGCGCTCACAGCGCTCACTGGCTGAGCGCGGTGCGGCCGGTCTCAAAAAGGACAAAAATAATTAAATAAATAAATAAATAAAGACCATTGCTGGGTCCTGGGATCCCCTGCCTCAGCCTCCCCATCTGACAACACAGGACTGGCCAAGGCCCCATCCTTGGTGTGAACATGCAGTCATGGCTGCTGCAGAGCAGGTGTGTGGGAGCAGGACAGGTGTGGAAAGGACAGTCCCCTTACCAACAGGTGGGCCCACGCGATTCCCCTGACCCTGCCGCGGTGCCTGGGGTCCTCCCCAGCAAGTCCATCCTTTGGGCTAAATGCTGTTGTCTGTTAGCATCTGAGGCCCTTGAGAGTGGCCCAGTGCCCTTAGCCCTGGTGTCCCTCAGTACAGAGGCCTGAGCTGGGGGTACAGAGCCAAGGTGTACAGGCGGGGCCTGCTGTGCCTGTGTGAGGCGTGCTCAGAGGTGCTCCCAAGAGGTGCAGCTGGCTCAGGGTGCGTGTTGAGAGGCCCCAAAAGGCTTCTTGGGCAGGGGCACAGCAGACAAACGGGCAGAGGGGGGGGCATCATGAGGAGGCAGCTGCCCATGCAACAGCAGGCAGATGGGTCGGCTGGAGCTGGGATTGTGTTTTGGGGTAATGAGGAAAATGGGCAAGGCAGGGAGGCAGCATGACCTTGGGGGCACAGAGCCAGGGTTAGGGGGTCTTGCCTGCTCCTGCAGCTGGAGTGACAGCCATTGAGGCTTGTTTTGAGCAGAAGCCATTGTTACTGAGAGGCCAGGCTGGAGGGTGGAAGCCGTGTCCCCATTGCAACCTGGGCCACCCACCAGGCCCCAGGGCAGCAAGTGAGGCTGCTGGGGCTGGTGCGATCATCCCCCACACCCTGCCTTGCCCGCCACCCCGGGCAGTGTGGAGCCAGCCTCCAGAGGCATGTGTGCACAGTGACGGCAACTGCTGCCTGGTGCACCATCACCTGGGCTGTCCTGGTTGCTGTAGCCCCACCATGCAGAATGGGGACCCTGCTGGCCTGGGATAGGCCCTTTAAGGCCTAATCATCCCAATTCTGCAGGTGGGGGGGAAACAGAGGCCTGGAGACAGGGCTTGCTAGGGCTCCTCGAGCCCCAGGAACACTGCAGGGCTGGGCAGGGTGAGGACCAGCTCTCCCTTCCTTCTGCCCTTGCAGGCAGCTTCTCCTGACCCCCGGGCCAGACTCTACTCCAAAGCCCGCAAGCTTCAGATCTTCCAGCTCCTTCCTTCTCTCCAGCTTTATTGAGTCTCTTGGCTCGCCCGCCCTAGACCCCCCAAACATGGAACAGAAGCCTAGTGGGGCCCATGGCATGTTCCCTGGCCCCAAGGACACAGGGTGAGACAGGACCGGCCAGCTCCAGGGCATCTGTCAAAGGCTGAGTGTCATACCACCCTGACAGGCCTGCATTGGGCCTGGGTCGGGGGCCACCACAGGTTTCCCACAGGAAGTGGCACTTGGCTTGGGCCATGGAAGATGAGCACGAACTACCCAGAAGGGAGGGGCTGGAGTCCAGAGGGACCAGCCTCTGCAGCGATGCGCGGCAGACAGCCCAGGTCTCGCCCCCAGGCCCGGCTGTGGGCAAGGATGTGCCCTTGCCTGCCAGACTGCGGGCCACCACCACCCCGATGGCAGTAAAACAAGGTGGGGCTGCTGGAGGGTGGGCCGGGCAGGGCCAGGGCCTGCGACAGTACCCCTGTGGCGGAGTCAGAAGCTGCTAGATCCGCAGGGACTCCATGCCAACCCACCATCGTAGTGGGTGGTCACCAGAGCAAGCACCATCCACCTCCTGGCACAGAAGCCGCAGCCCAGGTGGTACCGAGGCCACCTGTCCACCATGGGCAGGACAGGTACACCCACCGGTGGCCCAGGCATGATGGCTGCGTGGGCGGCTGGCCCCAGGCCGCTTCTGCTGTCCTGTGCTGGACAAAAACTTGGCCTCGGGCGCCGCCTGGCGGCCAGGTCTGGGAGAACAAGGCAGGAGGTGGGGTCTTGGAGTGGAAGGTGTTTGGGGGACCTCCAAAGTCAAAGAGCCCTGCATGCTGTGCAGACAAGCCTCTGTGCGGGCCAGACTGCACAGGGTGGGGAGTGCCTGGTCTGTCTAGGGTACTCTCTCTCCACCGGCCTGGCCAGGGCTGATGCTTGGTTCTGCAGGCCCCACAAGCAATGGGGCTCAGACAGACAGAGCCAAGAACAGGAGCCTAGGACGTGGTCCCCACCCCTGGCAGGGACTCTGGCACTACCACATACAGATACCCCTGGGTGCCCTCTCTGGCCTGCCCTGGCATGAGCCTAGCACCTGGATGACTGTCCATGGCAAAAGTCAGCAGCCTTGGTGGGGCTGCTGTGGGCCAGGCCTGGGGGACCTCCCCTGGGAGTACCCAGCCCCAGAGGGTGCCTCTCATGGGGGACTTCTGCTCCAGGATGCAATCCTGCCCCCTGTGCCCCACCAGAGCCCGAAGTTCCCATGGACCCAGCCCTGCAGACTCTCACCTGACTGCCTGCCTGCCTGGCTCCAACCTCAGGGCCTTTGCATGGGCTGTTCCTTCTGCCAGCACTCTCTTCCCAGGCCCCCACATGCCCTACCACAGGGCCAACCCAGTAGCCATGCTGGTCCTAGCACATCTGTCCTTCCTTGGAGTGGTTGGGTCAGGAGTGAGGGCTGGAAGGTCCCCTTTCCCGGGAAGACGGAAACTGGGATCCCCAGAGGATGTGAGGCATGCACACCGGGGAGCTGACACTGCCACCGCAGCCAGTGCTGAGACCAGACCTCGGCCCGAGAGAAGGCGGCTGGTGCCTTGCTGCCCCAGCCTGTGGGACATGCTGGCTTCTGTGCCGTGACACGCCTGCGCCTTCAGTGACCAGCTCCTTTGCTGCTCAGCTCGACCCAGGGAGTTCTGTCACATGCACGTGCTTATGTGACCCTGTCCCCATGACTAGCCTCTCCTACTGTCAGGCAGGCCAGACCCCTGGGAGCTCTTCATCCCAGCTGCCACCCTCAGAACCCCCAAACCCTCTCCCCTGGGTCCCTTGCTCTGTCTCTCCTCTCGCTCCCCAACCCCCCATTACTCCCAGTTTCAGCCCCACTGCTGCTGCCAGGTGAGCATTCAACAAAGCCCCAGTCCTAAAGGACCCAAATCCCCTCGTGACTCACTGGGTCCCCGTCCGTCCCCAGGCATCTGTGGCTCCTTCCCTGCCCTCAGCCCTCAAGTTCTTTTTTTTTTAGCGCACCGGTCGTCATCCCTATATAGGATCCGAAGCCGTGGCGGGAGCGCTTCTGCACTCCCAGCACCGCACCCTCCCGAGTGCGCCACGGGCTCGGCAGCCCTCAAGTTCTTGCAGGGCCTCAAGCATGCCCGCTCTGCTGCTCCCCCACCCGGCAGCGTCTCCCTCCCTGCCAGTCTCAGTCTGGAGGACGCACCCCCAGAGGGGCCTTCTCTGACTCAGCACTGCAGGTGTCCCCAACCCCAGCGGCTCCCGTCCCCATTCCGGGCACATGCACCCTCTCTCCTGGCACAGTGCTTGCTGGGCCTGGGGGATGCCAGTTCCCACCGACCCCCCATGCCCCACAGGGCAGGTCGTGCTCAGGTTTGCTGAAGGAACGCAGGAAT